ATATAATTATCTCTTTTATATTGTTTTCTTTTTATTATCTCATATATTAATACATTATAAAAAAACATTATTATCAATGTAGATATTTTAATAGAATGTTTTGCCTTGTTTTGCCTGTTATTCAAATCATATTTATCAATTTGCAAAACAATCACGAGATTTTTGCAACCTTCTTGAAGGTCCAAGTGCGTGTGGAACTTTTTGCATTCAATTCCTTGTTTTTTGTTTCTTGTACTGTATCTGAATTCCAACAATTCGGTCTTCACTTTTTGACCTACTCTTGTCGCTTCTTTATTCTTTGACCTTTCTTTTTTCCCACTGCTACGGCTTATAATTCATAGACAGAACACACACACAGTGTCATACTACATATTCCGCAATGCTATTCTTTCAAACTACGATTGCAGCTGAGGACTTTTTGTGTCCACGATAAAATCGCAAGTAATCATAAAAAGTGGGGGTTGTGAGAGAAGAATTGAAGGCTAAATGAGAGAGAGAGAGAAAGAGAGAGATGCGGGGTGGGAAGAAGTTGCTACACGGATTGCATCGTATCAAAAATTGTGCAACTGCGTCAAGCGGCTGATGATGCACTTAGGAATATTAGTAAAGCCTATGGAAAAACAGTGTCCACGTTGAATATCGTTCAATGTTTGTCTTTCAGTTTATTCACGTTAAAAGAATTGTGAACTCCATTTTGAACTATTCGATAAACTGCTAATTAAATTTGACTCGTAATTGATCCGATCAAAATTACTTCATTTTGTGAGCCAATCTTTTTCGAAAATTACCGAATACGTTCTTTGGCCGAACTGTTTCGCGGGACTTCCCGAGAAAATTTAAAAGTTTTTCTTTCGTCGGCGGGGTGAACCAGCCTCTTCGAGGATTGGGAATGTTGGAGCGCGTGAAAGTCGGAACGTGCGCAAGAAGTTTCGGTTTTTCTTCGCGAATCCTTATTTGTACGATGGCAAGCCGCGCATTCATTTTGTAGCACAAAATAGACGGCCGGGAATTTGCGAAATGAAGGAAGTGGTGGAAACATCACCGAGTCCACTACCTGTTGCTACCGTGGACAATAAGTAACGGAAGTTTCGGATTTGATTTACCGACTGTCGCTGATTTTTACACTATAGACAAAAATTGTCCAAAATTTTCCAACGTATTCTAATTAATGTCTCGGGTTTTATACGTGCATAAACAAATAACGCTTTGTTTCCGGAGTAATATAATCTCATGAAATATTTATATTTTCGAAAAAAAGAAAACCTCTCTGTTCTCATGTTTGAAACAAATAGATGGAAGTAAATGCAGAAGTACAGAGTGCATAGAACGATATAGAAGTTTTACAGAAACGTATTATTGTGAGAGAAAAGTTTCAGCTTCTCTCCGAAGACTCGCTGTAAACGCGAGAGGACTCCATCTTTTCTCGGAGTATTAAATCGAAAGTTTCGAAATGTTCGCGTCGAAGATTAACGCAAATAATAGCCGCTTATTGGTATCGTCGAGTGTCGATGCTCGAGTACGAATCCCCGTTGACCGCTATATTTTCCGCCACGGTGGAACTTTAAGACTATCTTGACGGAAACGAGAAAGAAGTACGAAGTCCAATCGAGCAACTCGTTACTCAACATCGAAGCTGAAGAGCTCGACTGACCGAAACTCGTATATTGCCATTCGTTGCGCGCCACATCGACCTAAATGCAAAAGTATATTTGGCGAAACTTTCGACGGATACTTTTCCGCCAACTAATTTGGACAGAATAAATATTCGTGATTCCTAACCGATTTTCACACTCGGTATAACA